AAGACAAAGAGAATATCGGTGATACTTCTTTTTGATATAAAACTATGTTACTACTTTATCGTTATCTCGTAATTGCTATCAAGTGCAAGAAGTCCAAGGAATTTGACATTTTAAATTACTAATAAAATAAAGAGTTGGTAAGATCTTCGAATGTTTCCTAGATACTTATGAAGTTATAAAGATCTCTGTGCAACCGTTTTTTTAAAAGAACTAGATACGTTTTCGCACAAACCCTAAAATGTATCTACAAAAGAAAAGTATTTTCTCTCAAAATCATTTTTCCTCATTTAGATTTCTGTGAATTTTTCACGTTTCTCCGTTTAGAAAGATGCTGGAGGCCAAAACGAAACCAGCACATATGGCTAGAGGTTGAGAGAGCTCGACTTTTCAGTTGTGGTCTAGTTTTCAATACAGCGCAAAATTTTGAAAAATCTTCTCGAGGATTTTGGGATTCTCAGTTTTTTTGATGTCTGCCAAAAATGAATAGCGCAAATATTCAAAGATCAGGTTCTGTCAGTCTGTTGTCACATGTGTTGGCTTCATTTTGAAATCAACCCGATCTCTCGAGCACCTTCCTGGTACCTATGGATATTTCCACAGCGAGAAACAAAACTTTGAATACCAAACACTTCAACCAACCAAAACAGAAAAATTAAAAGTTTTTATTGGATTTTGATGCTAATAAAAAATCTATTCTCGAAATTCGTTTTGGAAAATGTTGCCGGTATTTAAATAATACTAAAAAGACGAAAGGGTTTTTGTTCATAATAAAAAAAGCATGAACTCCGGTGGCACACACGGTTTCTTTCGAATAACTTCACTTATCAATTTATCAATACAATCTTCATTTATCCACACGATGAGTACGACGTGCTTTCCAATTATTACGTCAATTTTTGTTTCTCATTTGTAACTTAGATAAACCAAATAATTCTACAGCAATCGGTGAAAGAAATATGAGTAGCCCACTTTTGTGGTGGCTAAGGATGTTCGGTTCTCGGTTCCGGAACCGACAATGGCGATTCCGGTTCTGAGCTTAGAAGAGAACCGCGTTCCTCGGTTATCAACTTAGAGACGAAAAATAGTTTTTCAAGCGGAAACAATTCAACGAAGTAGAATTCATTTTATAGTAAAAGAAAGGATACTTTTGAATAATGATAGGCAAAGATATCTTTTTGTAGCTTTCTAAAGGGTGTGTTTTTATTTTGTTAAAATACAGGCAGGTCAAAAGATCTCAGTTCCGAAAAACACGAATCGTCCAAGAAACTTCGGTTCCGACTCCCGGTGAAGAATCGAAAATAAGAGAACCGCGGTTTTAGTTCCTTATGTGGAACCAAACTGCGATTCCAGTTCTTCAACCATCAGTGGTGGTTGAAGGTGAATTGAAAAAAGACTTCGTAATTGTATACTGATGTGATCATCATTCCGTAAAATTTCTGTCCAGATCTTATGGTTAGCGAGATAGGTTTCCACAGGAGGACCTTAAGCAGGATTTCGGGAGTGGATGCAATCGTAATCAGAATGACTGGCGGAAAATAAAACTTCCTTCTTCTGGCGCGAATCGCTGGTGGTATCAAAAAACAATACCTAAAAGAACAGTCCAGAGCGAGAAACAACCAAAGTTGGAGAAACCAATAAATTAGAACAGAAGCACGACGGATGTTCCGACATAGAACAAAAACGAAGGTTGAGAATATTCCTGAAATGTATGACATCTGTAATGTAAGATATTGGCAGGACTTTTGAGCTAAACGAACGCAACTGGTTTTCTGCAGCTTGATTCTCCATTAATATCCCACGAATATTAATAAATTAACCCGTTCGTTCCCGATGTCTGTTTAACAGATATGAGTTAAGTTTATTTATAAGTTGTGAACAACGCAAGATATTAACATGCGGTTTTCAACATTCGATAGCCAAGACTTGAAGCTATGTTTTCATAAGCAAAAAACTGGTTTCGGAAAAATTTAAAAAAATCGGGTTTGTTCAAAGGATCTCTGGAAAACCACTTCATATCTCTCAAAACCAAAACGGCAACCTATCGATTTTTTTCATATGTAGATAGTTCAAAGTGTCCTGTTTAAAATGGGAATTAAGCGAACTCTTGGTTGTTTGTGGTTTAGGCGTGGCACCGGATTTCCTCGAAGCCCCAGGATCAATATTTCTTTAGATGTGGTAATATCAAAGACGAATGGAAACATAGGCACTCGACTATGGTGTATCATTTGGCAACATTTGTTTTACTAAACAGTTCCAGAAACCTAGTGAAAACGTATATTAGGTGGAGTAACCCATTTTTGTCCATTTATTTATTTATTGCTGTAGAGCTTTTCAGTCAAACCGACCCATTGTCAGAACATCTTTAAAAATATTTACAATCAAACAGAGATATATAGTCATCCTAATACATATTGAGTCTTAGTGCATAACAGATGACTTTTACTTGGAGAAAAATACCTATGTAAAGAAAGAGAAAAAGGCGATAAGTCATATTATATTATTATTCTTGGTCAATCTAACAATGAGTGTAAAAGGGAGAAGCGAAAAGAATAAAAATAGACATTGCAGTACAGACATTGCGCATTAACTAAATCTGAAAAAGACAACTTTGTTCACGTTTTTTTCATTCAATTCGCTTACTCGTTATAATGTATTCATGTGTAACCTTATTTGAAGCCGATACAAGTGAATAAAATGCCAAAAAGAAAGGTAATTTTGAAGCCAAATAACTCAAAAGACGCAAAGAATAAACAAGAATCAGTTAGAAAGGATCTGAAAAAGTTAATAACTAACGACGAAACGAATTTTTCTCTTATTCCATATGAAGCAGGACAAGAAAGTGACTTCGAAGATATTGACAATATTGAACCTACAAATATTCCTGAACAAGTTGTTACAAATGAACCTGTTATTTGGGAGAAACGAGACTTAGTCACAGACTGGATTTTAAAGTTCTTTTCAAAGAAAGGAAAGGAAATGAATGTGAAACCAAATCATTCAGATGAACCTGATATTACCCCATTTGAAGTATTTTCTGGTTCTTCAATGACAACTTACTTGAATATTTAGTTAAACACACAATACTTTATGTAAACAAAATGGAAACGACAGTTTTAGTGTTGATGTAAATGAAATGCAAGTGTTTTGGGGCATATTGCTTATCAGCAGCTACAGCTAAACATGTCATAGGCATGACTACTGGAGCAACGACAAGTTTTATAAAGAAAAGATCTATAACGACAAATAAAGTTCTACATAGAGATATGCGAGCACATAAGAAAAATATATGAGACGGAAAGATCAAAGGAAAGAAAAGTGAACGGGGTATCTTTGATGTCAGTTGAATATAGTGTAATATACCGTGAAACCTCCACTGGAGCCGTCGAGTCCAAAAATCGGAAAGGTTCCGATGAGATCTTTGCGCCGTGCAACATAACTCGTCGCGCCGATTTCGAATATGTAAAAATCTTGAGGTATTCTTCTTCAGAAAAAAACATCAAACTTTGATATGAAGTATCGGGCAGTGAGAAGTGTCCTCTTTAAGATAAGCGAAATCTTACTAAGATCTTAATAAGACTGTACTGTCTAAGACTTTTTCAAGATTGGATAAGAATATACCCGAATCTTAATGGCAAGAACGATAACGTTTTTTAAATAATGTTCATCCGAGATTGACTGAATATTTTTCAAGTTTTAATCCGCATTATCCAAGTTGAAGAATGAAGAGAAATTTCATATTTTCAGGTGTCCAACTATGGACCTTGACCTGCATGTACACTCTCTAAAAAGTTGTTGAACACTTTTGAGAGAGCAAGTATCAGCAGAGTCAGGGAGAAAAATAAGCGTATAATCACTCATATTTTCGGTCACTTATATAGATGAATGATAGCAAAACAAAAGGGTGAGTGAAAGCAGAGTCATTAAATCTTATTTAGATCTTAAACAATAAGATCATAGATTATCTTATCAAAATCTTAAAGGATAAGATCTTAGTAAGATGATGTTAAGAAGTGTCTAAGATTTTTACTGGAGACACACGACAACAGTACATCATCTCTCAATATCGCCATCTAACCTACTGATTGACATCACAAATATTTGTGCACACGAAATACCAGACTGTTGGAAGAACGTACCAGTTCGAATAGATTTTCTGGACAACGGAATGCATACTCTATAGATTACAGTCAGTGCTAGAGCGGAAGATAAAGGCTTAATGATATACAAACTCAGCTTACCATCCTTCGACTAGTTAGATTGTGCAAAATACCAATGGTTGTAATTTATAGGACAAGATATTTGCGTTTTAGTTCTACAGGTATCGCTACAGCTTCTGTTTATCAGATGTTATAAGTCGCTAAATGTTACTTCTCTTGTGATGTGCTTGCTCATGCTGGATAAACTTGAATTGAATTGAAGATTCATCTGGTGCTGTTACTAAAAGTGTTCAATCCTTGAGTAATCTAATTGTGCTTTCTTGTGATGCCGTTAACTGATGAATTTGGTTTGTCGACATCTTCTATTTTATACTGTACAAAAATATTAACGGGTGTGGCAGAGAAAATGAGACTTTTTTGTTTTTGCTACAACTATGGCAGTTCGGATCCGATCGGTCCAAACTTTTTTAAAAAGATACACTGCGAAATACTCTACAAAATCATACCTAAACTATAGTTTCAGACCTTCAATCAAGAAAACTAAGTCAATTAGATGAAAGTCGAAAAAAATGTAAACTTTCTAAAGTCAAAAATTATTTCATCTGTTAACGCTTTGAAAGTAAAAACTGAATTAGCCGTTTTGTAGCCCTGACTTCGCTCTATCTTTTAGCTACGCTTCAGATTTTTCACCTCAAAAGCCATAGCGAAATAGTAGTTTTTCTATCGGTTCTCACGAATTTTTAAAAATTCTCTATCTTCTACATAAAAAGTAAACCAGTTCCGATCAGATGCATAGAAGAAAAACTCAAAATATATTATTTTCTGTAAATGAATAAGCGAAAAACCTTGGTTTTCTGAGATCCCGGTTCTCGGCACTTTAAAAATTATTTCGAATTGGTCGTGGAACAGAACATTGCTCAAAACCCTTAAGTACTGAATTAATCAAAACCTGTTCGGCCCTTCATACTGTAAAAATTGAAAACTTACTCATGCTACAGAGCTGTTGAGTAAAAGGATAGAGAAAAACAACTTTCTTAGCTTTAAGGTGAATAAAATTCCTTAAGTATCCTTAAGCCCACAGCACTCCAAACCACTTCGTGCCACTCCAGATAGATACATAGATTTATTTTACACACAGGTAGGATATCACAAAAAGCACTATATACATTGCCGAGCCACTCCGAGCACTCCACGGAGGAGCGGAGTGCAAACTAGTGGAGTAGTCGGACTGGGGCGGACTCAGACCACCAACTAATTGGTTTTGTCCATCCACTAAAGTTTTATAATTCACACTGCTCTGCGCTAATGACTACCATTTTGAAAAAATTTAATCTAAACCTTTTTATTTTTCGGCTCATTACATGTTAGTTGAAGTTGAACAAATGTGACAATAATAATAACAACAAAAAAATAAAAAAATTCGAGGCACCACCCACCCACTAAGCAAAACCCTGGCTACGCCACTAGTTAGAACATCGACCTGTAAATTACAAGCAAAAAAGAATCGCCTAGAAAGCTAAAAGGTCTGTGGCTAATTGTTAAAAACTGAGTGCTGTTCATGCTTTTTTTACTTAGAGAGAATAAATGCTAGGATAGAAAAATGGTAAAGCACAGATGAAAGTTCAGTAAAAAGAGAAAAATCATAGAAATATGGCAAGGATAGAAAAAAGAAGTAAAAAATTACTGATCTATGTTACTGTTCGTTATCTTTCTGTGGCTAATGATCTGATCTTTGCACAGCCCACTAAAGAACATCTTGAGGACCGTCTCATACCCTTTGCCCTGGGCATAGGCCTTCACGGTTTTCCAAAACCGCTTGAACAACTTTAAATGAATCTGTCGTCCGATGAAATTCGATTTTGCTTTGGGCATAAGATGAAGAAGGCGAGCCAAACTCTGGTCGGTATTCTAGCGAATGAACTGTTTGGAGTGGCACCACCACCCCTCGATCGGGTTTAGTTCGCAATGATATTTCGGCGTGAATATTATTTGAATATTGTAGAGTGCAGCCAGGTTCTTGAGTTTGCTGACCTTTGATATAGAGAGAGGAGCAAAATTTTTTTTGAAAACTTACTCTCTAATTTTCAGACGCGAAACTTACATTTGCAAATGCTTTGTGCTCAGTAAATATTGATTTTAGCTCATTCAAACTGCAGGTATGCGGAAGAGAAACATTTAACTCGGTTGCAATACGTAGAAGACCTTTGCTATCTCCGTTTTTGTCATAGCAGTCGACCGTCTGCTGTTGCAGGTTACTGTCCATGAACTGGATCTTGTCGACTGGACATCTTTGACATTAGAAATACTTTATGGAAAGACGTAGCAAGTGGGTAATTTATTCAACGATGACGATCCTGTGCTCCACACTTGTCCACTAACCACGATGATACATATACCATTCGATAGAGAATTTCTCACACTACAAGTTCATATATATATATGATAGTGAAAAAAGTGTTCTGGAACCCCCTGACATTAGAAATACTGTCTGGAAAGCCGTGAAAAGTGGGTGGCTTATTCCACGATGAGGATCCTGTGATCAACGTTCATAATCACAAGAACTCCCTTGTTTTTGACCTTTTAGTAAAAGCTGGAACCAATCTGACTAATGTTTTGAATAGCCCGAAGATTTTTCTATCAGATTAGGTGCATGTCGGCCTTCCATGAGAAAAGTTGATAATAGAGCTTCTGGAAAACCGACCTGCTTAAAAACCAAGTCCTTAGTTTTTAGCGCCAAAATTTTACAAACCATATAGCCTGATAGACCAAAAAATTCTGAGCAAATAAGACTGCTCCCGGCATTCCATAGCGCTTTTTCACACAACTGTAGTCGATTTAGCACTAGCCACAAGGGGCGTCAAAGTTACCAAAATATTCGGGTGAAAGAGCGCTATGGAATACCGGGAGCCGTCTTATTTTGCTCAGAATTTTTCGGTCTATCAGGCTATATGGTTTGCGAAATTTTCGGGCCAAAAACTAAGGACTTG